AATTACATCAAAATGCTTCTTATTTCTAAGTAACACATTAACAGTTGTCCGATTGCCCTGGGCAAGTAAATTCTCAGTTCGGGCAAGTGAAACTGCTGATGTACTTGTCCGATCGGGCCAGTGAATATTTCTGATAGATTTTTTTCTTACACTACTTTATAAACAAAACAATAAATTGAACATTTGATTTCTACCAGGAATATGACATTGTTTTTGCATTCGGATATTCCATGGTAGCGTTTCTAGATCATACCGTTTATTCAAAAATCAGGTTCGTTATTCCGTTCTTCTTTCGTGGTAGTTGACAAAAATATGTTTTGTCTGACAACTTTCTTTACACTCTTATTATGAAATATAAAATAGTTCCTTTATTCACTCACAGAATAAAAAAAAACACCAGTTATTCTCAGCGCATGATGTATTCTCAGGATATGTATGTTTCAAAACATGGAAATTGTTTTCCTTTAGCATGGCTTCAGTTTTCAGGGGGAAAAAATTAAAAATTTACAAAAAGATCATACAGAAAATAATTTTCAAAGATATGAATTTTATTTTAAAGGAAATATTGCTGCATGGCAGTGTGAGTTTACAAGTATTTAAATTGTAGCATCACCGGCACATCAATTTTTTTTTTTCTTCTGGCACTTAACTTGCCATATATAGAGTAATATCTCACTTTATTTACAATAATAAATTTAGTTACTGGTTTTCTCTTCTTTCTAAATTTTGGGCAAGCAAGTATTTAAATTGTAGCATCACCGGCACATCAATTTTTTTTTCTTCTGGCACTTAACTTGCCATATATAGAGTAATATCTCACTTTATTTACAATAATAAATTTAGTTAGTTACTGGTTTTCTCTTCTTTCTAAATTTTGGGCAAGCAAGTTTTGCATTCAGACAAGTCAAAGTTTGAGTTCACTTGCCCGAAGGGCAAGTCAATCTGAAAGTTAATGTCTATCCCTGAGGTCTATAGGCCTTGAAGGCTGCCTGGGTATCTCATGTCTTCATCCATCTCTACTAAAGCAATATATATACTGATGGCTTATTACCACGCAGGCTTAAGATTCATAATCTCTCTGATCACTCATGAATATAAAATGTTGCTTTAATGCTCATGATATTTAAAGAAAAATGTATTTTACAATTTTAGCATAGCTTCCGGGGCAAAATTGGACAAAAAGGACAGTTGAACTTGACAGACTTAAAAAGGAATAATAGACATTTATCCCTGTAAGAGTTACCTATCTTATCAGAGTATCGATGAACCTTAATGTTTAAATGAACAAAAAGTGACAGTTTGGTGACATGATAAATTATTATCTTCTTCAGCCCTCATCACAAAATGCATGAAAAAACTGCTTATCAAAAATGTGTCTTCCTCAGAGCAATTGGAATCAAAGTTCTGGAGCTAAAAAGTAATTAATTTGTAACTAAACAATTACTTCTGAATGGAATTGTAATGCCATTCTGGTTATTTTTATTGATTTTTAATAATTCAGTACAATGTTAAGCAATCATATTTATTCATCCTCACCATACACAAGGCAGTAAATACATCACGTACGATACAAACATAACTTTGTCCTTTTTATAAAAAATGCATAATTATGAAAAAAAATGCATTTAAGATCACTTGATCAGGCTATTTAATAGTTAATTAAAGCTTTAAAGCTGATTTAAGCTATAGAGCCTAATGAGGATTTTTTATATTCTTTGTGGGATATTTTTTTCAGTTTTGGTGATTAAAGCTAACTCCTAGCTAACTCACCACTGTCCCAAACTGCTGTTTTTCTTACTGATATTTTGTAATACCTCTGAAAAAGAATTGCCTCATCCTCCTAAGGCACATTTAATTGCAACTCTGATTATATATAAATGATAATTAATATACATATTAAGTAAACAGAGTGACACAGAGGGCTGCTTGTACTGCAAGCTCTTACATATTGCCTAGGTGAAGAAATTTTTTTGGATATAGTCTACACATTCATCAAAACTGAATTTTTTCTCCACTTTTCCACTGCACCCACAACTCCCAGCAAATTGCATATGGCTGCCCAAATTACGTTCTTATTCTTGCGACAACCAGACAAAACAGAAAAACAGAAGTCTCTGGCAAAACTGTAGCTTTCCTGGTTTGTACTTATAAAAAAGGAAGAGAAAAGTAGCACTTACACTTGAAACTATGCAAAAGAAATAAATATGGTATCAATCTCTTTTTGTGGTAAGATGTATTGCAATCAGACTAAAACAAAAAAAGAGTAGCCTTTTGAAAGAATTTCACAAAAATTTCTACTTTTAGTAACCATGACATGACCGTTTATAAAAATCAAAAACCAATAAATAGAATTATGTATCTTAATTAGTGTAGTTTACTTATTAAAAACAGACCAAAGCCATAGGAGGATTTCATTTTGAAAGTATTTCACATAAATTTCTATTTTTAGTAACCATGGCAACAGCACTCACCAAAAAACTGATGCACAGAAACAAGTATCTAACTGTAGTCTTCTTGTGTGCCAAGTAATACAGAAATCAGACCAAAACTATAGGAGGAAGCGCATTTAAAAGGAATTTCAGGGAAATTTCTATTTTTTAGTACCATTGCATCAGCCTTCATCAAAATCAAAAACTAATACATTGAATTCACAGGTACTTGTGGACAGAATGTATCACTTATTACAATAGTTTTGGCATGATGTAATAATCTCTCTCGGGTGTTATCATAAAAGGTAATATATTCTCTATGCACTTCCGTTGCGTTTACCTAAGGATTTTTCAACGCACTGACTGCAATGCTGTTTAAGGAGAAATTGTGGAATTCTTATGAGATGCAGAGTCAATCCGATAGCATGAACTAAGACAGAAATATATGTAAAGACAGTGTGAACCGACATTTTAGGTTAAAATAAAATAAATACATGTTTTTAAACCCAGAAAGACCAGTGGGGGTACAACGTAAACAAACCGGAGTGGCATACCTTTCTCTCTTATAATGTATATAGTGGGGTATTTTTGTGTGGAACGATTATTTTGGGGTTTTCACGATTTTTTCCTATGGTACACATGATGAATAAGTGTAATAAATATAATTTGTGAAAAAAATGTCCAACATGCCCAGGGGTTGAATATCAGGGGGGGGGGGGGGGGGCCCTGTCCACAAGTACCTGTGATTGAATTACATTATTTAGTGTATCTACTTGTGTGCCAGGTTATATTGAAATCAGTTCAAAACTAAAGGAGGAGTAGTCAAGTGATTTGATATTATTTCACAAAAATTTCTATTTTTAGTAAAATGGCAACACTGTTCATCGAAATCAAAAAAACCAAGGCTTAAAACAGTCTTCGACAAATCTCGGGAGTCCGAAGCCGGGACTTGGTAAAATTGGAAGTGGGCATGTGGAAATTGCATACTTAAAAGCCCGAAAGGCATGTAAATTCTGAGGCCTAAGCCTCCGTATTATCAAATTAAATAATACCAATAACATTAAATGTACTGAAAAGTCTGATTTTTCATCTAAAGTGGAGCATCAAATAAAATTTTAACGATAGTTTATTCTACCGCGATTTCCAAGGAACTCTTTTGCAAAGGAGACACAAAAAGTATACATGTTAAAAACAATATGTGACTTCCAAGGAACTCTTTTGCAAAGGAGACACAGAAAGTGTACAGGTTGAAAATAATATTAATGGTGAGACAATAGATCGATAGGAATGGATTTCAGATCATTTCCTTGCCATGAAAAGGCAAATAAGAATAAAATTACTTGATAAAATTCTGGGCATGTAAATATTTGTTCGGGCTAGTGTAATATTTTGTTAAACCTGCCCGAAGGGCATGTACTGAAAAAAAGATTTGGCGAAGACTGCTTAAAATAAAAAATTGTTTGTTTGCAGTTGCCTACGGACCCACTCTAAATGCACACGACCCAAAAAAATTTTCAGCCATTTCTTGAGAAAAACTTTTTTACGGTAAGATTCAAGTTTTCAGGATATTGAAACAGTTTCATTTTTTATTTCTTTCTTTATCAATTAGTAGCTTAAAATAAATGGAGCTTATTTACTTTAGTAACTATATGAAAATCCCTATGATTTGTTATTCAACAAAAAACTGAAAAATAAAATCTATTAAAAAAAAATCCTACCTACCTACCCAATCTAAAAATTTCAGATTGGCAACTGCAAACCAAGTATTTTTTAAGCTTGGCCAAATGCACAGAATTATGTATAATAATGTAGTCTACTTGCATGCCAATTAAGTTATATTGAACTTGGACCAGAACTGTATGAGGAGTAGCATTTTGAAAAAATTTTACAGACAGACAGCAGATGGATGGACAAAGGACACCTTACAATCGCATAAGCTCTTCTAGATCTGGTCTCTAACCAGTAGAGCTAAAAAGCTCACCTTGCTTTAATAAAAATTGCAAATAGATAGTAGACAGAATTAACTTGTAACAAAATGAATGATGTGACATGTCTAGACTCAGTGCATCAAACCTTTAACTTTACAAATCAATGTGTATCATGTGAACTGAAGGGGCAGACCTAACTAAACATGTACGAACATCTATTAATACACAACTTTGCTAACCCCAACAATCCCACCATCAAACATATACTATACTATGCAAAAATGTCACCTTCCAAAGTGGTTAATACCACAATGGCTTATTAATGTAGAAACCTCCAAGATTGATTCACTTAGCTGTTCATCTCAGTCTACGAATGCCACCATACATTACATTGTCAATTATATTTATGTCTGTATTTAGTTCAACATGGCAAATGATGTGACTAGGACGTATAAGCAATTCTGTTCAGAAATATGAAAATATAGAGATATAAAAAAAAAAATCAGTCGACCGGGAGTGCCTGCCAAATTGTTTCCCGAGTAGCTGCTATTGCACAAAATGCATGCAATTGGATCAGTTCGACAACATTTCAAAAGTGGCTACAAATATAGAAACTAAAAAAGGCAACTTAATATCACCATACGTTTTAGAATTTGGAATTATGCTGACGACCGAAATTTCTATTTCCCATTTCCCTCTTCCTTTCCAAATTTCAGACGACATTTTCCTCCTTCACTTCTAGAGAGTCATGCGCAGCTCACCAATGCGCAGAAGCACTGCATGTGGATGATGCGATCGCAATTCACGAAATTTTGTTGGCCTAAAGTAGAAAGCAAGAGTGAGTATATGCGACGTGATATAAATATATGAGTTCAAAAGCAACGAAGAAAGACAATCACAGTTTTTTCAAGTGCAATTATATTCTATTATTGCTCTATTTTGCAACCCAAGAGGCATTTGGAATTTGACCCCATGGTATTTTGCTATCGACGCAAGTTGGGACCAATCGCCCAAATGGGATATAATAACCCGTCTGGGACATACAGATGTAATGTCTCAAATAGGATATAAATTTACAGTGCAAAAAATGAAAAATTTTATCTTGGCTATATAAATATCATAAATCCGCATCAAAATACTTTAGGCCTAATAGGAATAACTTTTGGCAAGCAAGTTGATGCGGATTTATGATATTCATAGCCAAAATAAAAATTTTCATTTTTTTTTTCACTGTAAATTTACATCCCATTTGGGATATTATATCCCAAACAGGCTAGGCTATTATATCCCATTTAGGCAATTGGTCCCAACCTGTTTATAAGGAGTCATTGAATCATGGTAGTGACACTTTTTCTTTGAAATTCACTGTACAATAACTGGAGATAAACCAGCAGTGGATGGAGCTTGTTATAAAACAAAACTGTGCTGTTGAAATAATTTATTGTACAACCCCAATCAAAAACAAAACATTGCCAGGCTCGTAGCTAGGCGTACACAAATGCTTAGCATTAGTGATGAAACGATTGTCGCCGACAATCAATTGTCGGTCGTTAGGAGCTCTTCGATGCTACTAATCGATTAAAAAATAAATGTCGCCGACATAGCTGACAAAAAATAAAATTGTCATACTTTAATTTTATTACCAAATCCAAGTGCAAAGAGTTTAAGAGTAGTGACGAATGTTTAAAATATCGAAGGAATCTATGTCATGTTGATTTTTTAGCACCATGATTGAATGTAGGGTCAGACTAATAACAGAAAACGGACAATATTACAAAGTTTTACTATACACAGGAAAACATTTTTAGTACAGACAATCTGTAAACGTAATTATAATCAGGAATACACGTCTAAATTCTGGATAACTACTTTTAAAACTTGTAATTCCAAGAAATAAATGCATGTAATCAAAGATGTGACTAATATCAGTAATAAAGCCATTCCATATATATAATGATTTTTTTTTTTGAATAAATTTCCAATCTGATTCAATATATTGATTTTTTTTAAAGTTCAGAAATATTATTTTCCATGTTATTAAAAGGAAAATTAATAAACATTTTTGAATATTATATGTAATTAAATGATTTTTTTAAAAGTCTGACTGAAATCTGAATAACTTTAACTTTTCTATATTTATTTCATTTAAGTTAAAAATTTTGATTATAATCGATTATGCTCAGCCGATTAATACCGATAATTGATTCTAATTTTTTTCCGATTTTCCATCACTACTTAGCATTAATTTTGCTAGGCATTATGAAGGGAAAGATAGATGGTACACAAGTAGCACAGACCCTTCATTAGTACGCAGGATTTTTTCGGAGATTGCCCTCCCCCCTCCACTTTGAAAAAAAAATTAAACATTGCAACAGACCTGTAGCAAACTATTTGGAACAAATATCCGACAGCAGCCTCCACTTTCTGATTAAAAAAATGTCATTTTGTACCTTGTTTTTGTCAATTTTCATTGACAAATTACAACTTAACTGGTAATGCTTTATATACATGTACAGTTTTTACACTGACAATTTCCACGAGGGAAATTCATACATCAAAGACATATCTAATTATTTGCAAAAACCAAATTTCTGATAGACCCAGAAAATTTCATCCTTGTTACTTATGATGTGATCAGCACATACACCAACATGGAATTTTATGAATTAATTGCTACAATCTCTCGAGAAAGCATATCTAGAAGACAATACTAAACTAGAATCACCTCTACCTTGCAGTTCTGCTAGAACCTTAAGCTTATCACCTCTGAGTAACCTGTTTTATTTATCTATTAATATTTACATTTCCAATGTCTTTCTCTGAGATAAATCTACAAATAAGGTAATGGCTTTATAACCCCATAAATCAATTTGCTCAGCACGTGACAGAACTGCATGCTTTTTTGCTGTGTGTTGCTTAGTAATGCACCTGGTGGGGATGCTGAGATTTCTTGTTATTGATTTTTTTTAATTGAATCAAGGATCAGGTAAAAATGTAAATATAAGGAATAACTGTCTGTTTTTTTTTGTTTTATGATGATGATCAATCAATTTGCTTGCTTGATAATTTTACGCATAAATGCTTCGGCATTTATGAAAATTATCACTCGAGCAAATTGATTGATCACATCATAAAACCAAAAACCTAGACAGTTATTCCTTAATTATTTATTTATCTGTTTTATTTATCCACATTTCATATCACAAGAAAGAATTTTAATGATTTTCTCCGGTGGAAATTGTCAGTTTAATCATTGTACATGTACATATAGAATTACCAGTTTAGTTGTAATATGTCAGCAAAAATTGACAAAAACCCTGTACAAAATGATAATATTTTTAGTCAAATGTGGCAGCCACTGTTGGCTATCGTAATTTGGATTGCTGTATATCAAATTTTGCAATGTCGTTGAGGAAACAGTTATGCAAATACATGCATGTTGTATTAAATTCGTTTATAAGGACAGAAAGAAACTAAGGCCACTATGCTTCATAAAAATTCCTGAAAATGAGTGACATATTGAATACAATTCACTTTAAAAAGTAGCAGGAGTAACTGTATTAATTCTAAGCTCTATATTAGTTTTATTTAAAATAATTAAAACTATTTGTTATTTTTCCACGCAAGTGCAACTTCGTGATAAAGCCATTTCATGCATGTATAAGAACTTAAATTTTATTTTCTAGTACATCTATTTTATTCAACAGAAGTTGTTGAAACTTAATGGCCTATATCTTATGTCATTTTAGGATATTTATGACACTTCTTAGTTGACTTTCTACAACCTAAGTATCTCTGATGTTTTGTCAGTGTATACTTGATTTGGTATGTTGTAGATTATTTGATACATTGTTATGATGAATACATTGCAGATGTTCAAGTAGCAGGGCCATGTCGGTGGGAAGAGACACCTGTCTTCACTGTGGCACACTCATCCCTGACAACCAGTCCCCCTCTCCACCCTTAATAGATTCCACAGACACAGAATGGACTGATATATTATTGTCTGTGTTTTCTAAAGAGAAAGTCTACCACAATGCTGGGAAGGAAAGCTTTTGTGACAGGTACTTTCTATGTAAAACATTGTATGTAAATAAATTTCAAGTTACACATTGTCATTTTTCAGTTATTTATTTGTCTCTGAATGCACTATTGTCAGGAATCTATTTATTTTATCTTTCAATGTTGTCATAAATAAATTGCATGGAAATACCACATGATAGGAAAAATATGATAAAAAGTATACAGTAAGTATCAGTCTATAATTATTATGTGTTTGTTATCATGTACATTATTTTCCAAAGTTCATGAATTTGAAGTTATCTTTTAAATTTAGGTGCAAATCCTCAATTCTCCAAGTTCACAAGATTCAGGAGGAATCAGTAGATGCAATAAACAATTTGGCTGCCTTAGCAAGGACACAGGATGTATCATCAAATCTCTTATCACAAAATGTTGTGTCATCTGCTGCAAGGGTAAAAATAGCAACTCATTATACATTGTAGTTCTAGGAATATTCTTGATACATAAATTTCAACTAGAGTTATCTAACTTAAGACATTTTAAATTGAATTACAAGTAAGCCAATGTAACAGCATAAAGTGTCAAGCATATGTGTATTTTAGCTACAATAATTTTAACAGTTTTATACAGTATTTATAATGAGAATTCTAAAAACAAATTCTTGAATCAATTGCATGACATCAAAATCACAATTTTTTGTGTTCGGTAAAAATAAAAGGATTTATTGAAACTGGGTCACGATATTTTTTAGGATGCTGGGCATGATTGGTTCTTTGTGAGCTACAACAGCAAGGAAGGTTCACTCCTGTGGAAGGGCTCAAAGAAAGGGTGGAGCTTCATCAACAGTAACAAATCCATTAGCCACTCATTCTTCCAGTATTGTACAGGTACTGACATCTCATGTATAAAAACCTTAGAAAATGCATACCTCTTTCAAATTTTTAGCTCATCTGAGCCGAAGACTTAGGTGAGCTTGTCTGATCAAAGAGTGTCCAGTGTCTGTCATTCGTCTGTAAACTTTTCTTATTTTCAACTTTTTCTCAAGAACCACCAGGCCAATTTCAACCAAAATTGCCACAAAGCATCCTTGGATGAAGGGGATTTAATTTGTTCACAGGAAATGCTATGCCCTCTTTTCAAGTGGAGGTAGTTAAGAATTTGTGAAAATATGGTTGCTATCTTTTAAAAATCTTCTTAAGAACCACTGGGCAAGAAAAAATGAAATTCATGTGAAAGCTTCATTACATCCTCTATATTCAAATTTGTTCATTTCATAACCCCTGGGGGTAGGGCGGGGCCACAAGAATGGGTCAAAGTTTTACATAGGAATATATAGGAAATCTCTTTAAAAATCTTCTTCCCGAGAACAGCAAAGCCAAAGCCATTAAATAGTCATATTATTATAGAAATATCCTCAGGTAGTTTAGATTCAAGTTTGTTCCAATCATGACCCTTGGGGGTAAGGCAGGGTCATAAGTTTACCATAGGAATATATAGGAAATATCTTTAAAAAAAATCTTCTTCTAAAGAACAGCTAAGTCATTATTAATCATATTAATATAGAAGTATCCTCAGGTAGTTTGGATTCAAGTTGTTCAAATCATGAGCCCTGTTGGTTTGGCACACGCAACAGGGGGCCAGAGTTTTACATAGGAATATATAGGAAATATCTTTAAAAATTTTCTTCTCAAGAACAGCTAAGCCATTATTAGTCTTATAAATACAGAATTATCCTCAAGTAGTGTAAATTCAAGTTTGTTTAAATCATGACCCCGGGGGGTAGGGGCCACAACAGTGGGTCAGAGTTTTAAATAGGAATATATAGGAAATATTTTTAAAAATATTCTTCTCAAGAACAACTAGCCATTTTTAGCCATATTTTTACAGAAGCAACCTTCAGTATTGTAGAATCAAGATTGTTCAAATTATGACCCCCAGGGGTTAGGAAGGGGGGAGGGCACAACAGAGGGTCAAAGTTTTACATAGAAATATTTAGGAATCATATTGAAAAAAAAATGCTGCTCAAGAATAGCAAAGCCATGATTAGTCTTATTATTATAAAAGCATCCTCAGGTAGTGTAGATGAGCCATCAGAGTTCTAAATAGGAATACATAGGAAAAAATCTTCAAAATTCTTCTGCTCAAGAACAGCAAAGCCGTGATTAGTAATACTGATATGGAAGCTTAGTAATATTGATATGGAAGCATCCTGTGTAGTGTAAATTCAAGTTTGTCCCCAGACCCCAGACCCCCAGCCCCCGGTAAACTTTTCAGTGCTGAACTGATTTCTGCTTTTTCTTAGCCAATGTGCTCAGGTGAGTGATGTGTAGGGGTGCAACGATACACTAACCTCACGATACGATACGTATCACGGTATTCAGTTCACGATACGGTACGTATCACAATACATGACAAGGTTAAAAAGTCTTTCAAGTTTGTCATCATATTTTTTTATAAACTTGACAGGGTTATACAAAATGTTCATATTTTTTAATAATAATTAAAATAACATTTTGTTAACTTGAATTGGATTGTTAGGTAGAACTTTGAGTTGTGACAACATTCTAAACCAATGATGAACATTTACAGGGAACTACGGGGACCTTTCCTAATAATCTTCCTTTTAAATTGGAATGAAAAAGGAAGACATTCATTCTTTTATTCCTTTTATTTACGTAGAAAACCAGTTGTCATATTTCTCGTGTTAATAAGTTTTAGTCAACAAGACAGCGAATTTTCATCGAAATACATATGTGATGGAATATCGTGTATTACCAAAGAATACGTTTAGATCTAAAGGGTTCATCATTTGTCTTAACATCTATAACTTAAAATCACATTATGTCCTTCTCCGTGTTAAATCTGAGGTCTGTAAGATGCAGGAAACGAGTTTAACTGCCGTAAATGCGTTTTCGGCGACCTCACGTTTTGCGCGGAAGCCATTTTGAAATAGTAAAGAAGGAAATAAAACGGACAAAACGGATAAATCTGGACCGATTGAACCGAACTGCGATATCAGTTTAGCGTATCGTGAATTGAACCGTGGAAAAATATACCGCGATATACCGTCAAACGGTTTATCGTTGCACCCTTAGTGATGTGGCCCATGGGTCTCTTGTTTTTGTTTGCTATTTTGGAGAAAAACAGAGAGTAATGCATCACTCAGGTGACCTGCCACTAATTTTTAGCTCACCTCGACGAAGTCGAGATGAGCTTATGCTATACCCCCGGCGTCGGCGTCGGTGTCGGCGTCAGCGTTAGCGTCGGCGTCCCAGGTTAAAGTTTTAGGAGCAAGTCCCATTCCCAAGTAACTATAAGCCCTACCTGGACCAAACTTGCATGGATGATGCATCTAGGGATGGACACTACCAAACTTGCTTCGGATGCTGGATCTGACCTAGATTTTCCAGATGAGTGACTAGGTTAAAGTTTTAGGAGCAGGTCCATTCCTAAGTAACTATAAGCCCTACCTGGATCAAACTTGCATTGATGATGCATCTAGGGATGGACACTACCACACTTGCTTCGGATGCTGGATCTGACCTAGATTTTCCGGATGAGTGACCAGGTTAAAGTTTTAGGAGCAGGTCCATTCCCAAGTAACTATAAGCCCTACCTTGACCAAACTTGCATGGATGATCCATCTAGGGATGGACACTACTAAACTTGCTTCGAATGCTGGATCTGACCTAGATTTTCCAGATGAGTGACCAGGTTAAAGTTTTAGGAGCAGGTCCATTCCCAAGTAACTATAAGCCCTACCTTGACCAAACTTGCATGGATGATGCATCTAGGGATGGACACTACCAAACTTGCTTCGGATGCTGGATCTGACCTAGATTTTCCAGATGAGTGACCAGGTTAAAGTTTTAGGAGCAGGTCCATTCCCAAGTAACTATAAGCCCTACCTTGACCAAACTTGCATGGATGATGCATCTAGGGATGGACATGGCCACACTTACTTCGGATGCTGGATCTGACCTAGATTTTCCGGATGAGTGACCAGGTGAAAGTTTTAGGAGCAGGTCCATTCCCAAGTATCTATAAGCCCTACCTTGACCAAACTTGCATGGATGATGCATCTAGGGATGGACACTACCAAACTTGCTTCGGATGCTGGATCTGACCTAGATTTTCCGGATGAGTGACCAGGTTAAAGTTTTAGGAGCAGGTCCATTCCCAAGTAACTATAAGCCCTACCTTGACCAAACTTGCATGGATGATGCATCTAGGGATGGACATGGCCACACTTACTTCGGATGCTGGATCTGACCTAGATTTTCCAGATGAGTGACCAGGTTTAAGTTTTAGAGCAGGTCCATTCCCAAGTAACTATAAGCCCTACCTTGACCAAACTTGCATGGATGATGCATCTAGGGATGGTCACTACCAAACTTACTTCGGATGCTGGATCTGACCTAGATTTTCCAGATGAGTGACCAGGTTAAAGTTTTAGGAGCAGGTCCATTCCCAAGTTACTATAAACCCTACCCGGACCAAACTTTCATGGATGATGCATCCAGGGATGGACACTACCACACTTGCTTCAGATGCTGGATCTGACCTAGATTTTCCACATGTGAGACCAGGTTTAGATTTAGGAGTAGTCTCATTCCCAAGTAACTATAAGCCCTACCTGGTCCAAACTTTCATGGATGATGCATCTAGGGATGTACACTAACCAACCTGCTTCGAATGCTGGATCTGACCTAGATTTTCCACATGAGTGAATTTTAGCCATATTTTAACCAAATTAGCATGGATGATGTATCTAGAGATGGACACTTCCAGACTTGCCTTGGATTCTGAATCTGATGTACATTTTCCAGATGAGTGACCAGGGTAATTTTTTTGGAGTAGCTATATAATATTATGGCCTGTTATGATTAAACTTGCATAGATGGTGCATCTAAGGATGAAAACTTCCAGACTTGCTTTGGATGTTGGAACTGACCAAAATTTTCTTGATTACTAAACAGGTCAAAAGTTTTTTAAGCAGGTCTATAATTAAATCAAACTTGCATGGATATTGATCTTGGGATGTACCCTAACTAGAAAAAAAATATGATGTGAAATTTGCCTTACATGTAGATAACATTCGTCGAGGTGAGCTTCGTAATCTTTGATTACCTATGTTTATTGTTTGCATAATCCTAAAAAGGCAATGGAACTATACATGTACTAAAATTGTTATACCTTTAAAAATTTATTCCTAAATAATGTATACTTTAAAAAGTCTAACATTTCCAATTTTTACTGAGTGGTCATGAAAAAAAAAAATCAATGTTTGACCGCTGAGTGAGATATTGGACCTGTTGATAAGATATTTGACTGCTTATGTCACACTGGGGGTGGGATCAGATGTCTTATTTGCATTCCTTGTTCGACAATGACAGAATTGACTGAGTTTTACTGCAGTGGGGTAAAGAAAATTTACATCATGAATGCCAGCACTAGATAAATGTGTGTCAAAAAAAATTAAAAAGGTGTAACAAAACATTTATTGACTGTGTTCTTCGGCAAAATGCATTTTGTCTTGTTTAGACCCCATTGGGGGACCACAATTTTTGTACATAACTGATGCAATTATCTTTGGGAGCCTTTACTCCTGAACAGTCAGTACATGAAATCAGTAAAGATGAACCCTGTATAAAATTATTATGTATTTACATCCCTTCGGTCGTTGGTTCTTGCCCTAAGATAGTTCCAAGATTATTGCATATGGAAAATGCATATTATTTCTGAAAATCTTCTTTATTCTAGAACATCTAACAGACAAAGTGCTCACATACTTATAATATCCAATGAACTCTCAAAAACTGTGTTTTTCATATTCTCCCATCTTTGGATCAGGCCCCAAGTTGTTGGTGCTAAATTGATCAGAGTTGAACAAGTATTAAATCCTTAAATCTTCTGATAATTGATTTTAGGGACATTCATATTTCCCAGTTTAGATTGCTCTTGGGATCATGTGGTCAAAGGGCCTGACATTTCTTTCTAAAATAAAATAATAAAAATAAGTAGTTTTAGTCTAATAATGCAATAAAAATTTGTTATTTGATATTTAGGTCATGACTTTTCTTTATTTTAGCAACTAAAATAGAAGCTTTGTCTCATCCCTTGGGAATCTATGTTAGATCTGTATCTATCATGGTTCCAATTCATATTCTTATCAAGGCATTTTCAGTAGAAATGCATTAAAATTTGAAAAACTTGATTTTTCAATTTTTTCCAAATCCACTTATGGCCCTTTGTTAGCCTTGTTACTAGCCACAAAGAAATTTTGACCAATCTGCAAGTTGATCTTTACTTGCTATTACAATCTGCTTGAAGAGTTTGAATTCTTTCAAGCATTTTAAAATATGTAAATGATTTTGTAGATAAAGATGAAAATCAGATACAGGAAGATGATGATCAAAACGATAGAGAAGAAGAGGGAAGACTGACAACAAGTGTTGCAAATTTTCTTGATGAATCAGATGAAAATTCAGGAGGAAGTCAAGATTTATTATGGAACTGTTGTGTTTGTAATCTTAATTACAGAACTAAGAAACTGCTGTTGGATCACATTCAGAAAACACACAGCCTCAAGGGAGAAGATGCTCGAATTGTGGCAAAAAGGAAATTTAATCCAGACTCCACTGAAGTGTCACGGTCAAAAGTTGTAAGAATGGAGGACAGAGGTGACAAAGAGAGGAGTGAAAAAGATGACCAAAAGCATTGGAAATGTTTAGAATGTGGAAAAATTTACATGTACAAAAGCAATGTCAAATGCCATTTGAAGAAAGAACACAATATCAGCTTGACTGAGTCTTCAGAATACATATCTGAGGCAACTTTTGAGGAAGTTTCAAAAGCATTAGAAAAAGAAAAAGAGAGGTGCCTATATAAGTGTAAAAGGTGTGAGAGAGTGTACAGTCTCAAGTCCTCTCTAGTAAGACACTTAAAGACTTACCACCATATTGGAATGAAAAATGCCTCAAAATTTATTGCAATAAACAATATAGTCCCCCAAGATGATACAGTAAGTCATGAGGCTCCAAGTCTAGACCAGACACCTATTATCACCGACATTAGGAATTATCCTACAGAAGGAGCAGAGAAAGTGAAAGTATGGATATGCAAAATTTGTCAAGTTTCATTTCAAGATCAGAAATTAATTGAGGAGCATATGTCTCAAGTCCATGAAATGCGGGTCAGCAAATCCAGAGCTTATATGGAGATTCCAAAGTCAGAGGATGATGAAGGTGATGAAAATGATGATGAAAGTGATGAATTGGGACCACCTAATATATTCCAAAGCACAAAGACAGATGAAGACAATCCATGGTATGGTGATTCTAGCTCTTTGAAGATAAGAGTTAAACAATGGGGGTGCCAAAAATGTGGAGGTGAATTTTGTCACAAAAAAGATGCTCTTAGGCATCTTCGTATTCGACATTATTTGTCTGAAGAAAAACGGTATACATATTTAAAGAAACTTGATACAATTGACAGTATGCCTGAGTTGGAAAAGGAAACTTCAACACCTCCCAAAAATGTTAAGAATTGGCAGTGCACAAAGTGCAGCAACAAGTATGTCTACAAGCGAGATGCTTGTCGCCATATACTGCTTCACCATGGAATTGAGCATAACAGAGATAACTTCATCATATACTCAGGGTCACAAGAAAAACGAGATACAGGGATGGATAAGAATGATGTCATCATTATAGAATCCAATGATGAGGAGCAGCTCTCTGAGACAGAGGACATTGTAACTGCGGCAAATGGAGAGAAATTCAAATGGGGATGTCAAAAGTGCAAAAAGATCTTCCTTAAAAAAACCAAGGTGGGAGATCACATGAGGACGTATCATAACTTATCTCTAGCAGAGTCGGGGGAGAAAGGAAAAAATATTTTAGTTCAGAGTCCACTTGGTAAAGGAATACAGTGGAAAAAGGATGTTGGTGAAGAAGATGAGGTACATGTAGATGTTGAAAGCACTGAGGGGAAACCTCAGAAGGAGTGGTTTTGTAAATTGTGTCACAAAAGCTATTTCCGACATTCTGATGGAGCTAGGCATTGCAGGAATACACATAAGGTGACCTATGAGGAGGGTAAACTTATGGTTATGCATATTTCAGAAATGTCTGGAGATGAAATGAGTAAGTCAGAGGAAAAAATTAATAGAATGGAAGAGGAAAAGGAGGAAACTAAAAAGGAACAACCTTGGAAATGTATAAAATGCAACAAGCAGTTTCAATGCAAAACAGATGTTGAACGACATCTGACAGATGATCATTTCATCACTGACCAAGATCATGAGTTTTTCATTGAAAGGAATAAGAACTATGCAAGAAAATGGAAGTGCTGTAAATGTGGACAAAGATTTTTTCATCGTTTTGATACCTCCAGACATGTTAATTTGACACATGATATTGTGTGGGAGAAAACAAAAGACTTTGTACAGTTTCTTGATGAAGTTGATTTAAGCTTTGAAGAAGCACAAAATAAAGATGATTCCAAACCATATGTGTGTCTGATTTGTCAAAAACTTTTTTGTGCAAAGAAACCATTAATGAGTCATCTGCAGAAATTTCACAAAGCTAAGATTAATGCTGATAATTTCGGAGAGCATGTGTTAAGTTTTCACAAAATACATGCAAGAAACTGGGATTGCTTATCATCTGAAGATGGTGAAAGTAGAAAAAATACTGTCCCATTGTCACTTTTGAGTTCATACATGATGGATGAAAACCAAGCTAGAGTAGATGAATCACTCAATGTTAATGACGTAGTTGTTAAGACATTAAGTTTAGAGGGGCCTTATTCAGAGGAAAACTGGGCAAAGATTATTGGAACCAGCTATGAAAGTACCTGTAATAAATCCACTTCATACCGACCAAAGAATGACATGGAAAATAAACAGTTTAGCTGCATGCTTTGTAACCTCAGATACTACAAAATGAAGGAAGCCCAGAGACACATGTTTTTGAAACATAAGATATCTTATATAGAAGCTGTTAATTATATCACCGAGAACAAAGATGTAGTTTTTAATCAAGATGCTGAAGGTCTTGGTGAAAGAACCCCCAAACGACGAAAAATTGGGGAAGGCAACAGTCATGTTTTCTTCTGTACGCAGTGTATGAAGTCTGCCATCCATTTTCAGTCTAGCCAACTTCATATTGTTAAGTACCACAAGGAAAAGAAAGAAAATATCCACAAAAAGATTTGCAGATCCCAAAATGTTGAAGTGTTGAAATTAGGGAATGAAGACAAGATGAACTTTGTCTGTGTGATCTGCTTTGTAACATTCAGAAGCAGAATTGATGGCTTCAAACACATCGCTAAGGAACACTCAATGGTGCCTCAAGATGAAATATCTGAGTTCCTGTTTACAAAGGAAGACAAGATGAAAACATGTATTGTTAAGTTTGAAAAATTGAATGGAGTCATCAAAATTTTTAGTATAACAACAGAGGACATCTTAAATGATGTGAAATTTTCAGAGGAGAACAGCAAAGAAGAGGGATCCGATTCTGAAGATGACAAGAAAAAATCAATCAAGATTGAAAAAGATGATGGAAGAGAAATTCGTATGGAATATGAGAATGTTGAAGACTCTCTAGCAATCCTTTTAATGAATATGAGTAATCCAGAGAGTTTTCAGAAATTTACATATGATGAATTTTATTACATATTCTCAATACCTGCTAAATCACACAAGAATGTGACTTTAAGTGAAGTTAGCCATATTCCATGTCCAAACTGCCCTAGAGAATTTGTTGATCAATATGCTCTCCACAAACACTTGCTTTCCTGTTGTGTACCAAGACAGAATGCCTGGGAATGTCTAAATTGCAGGAAAAGTTTTAAATCTGTTGGAGTTTTGGTAAAACATATTCAGAAGATGTATGGAATTCAGGGTACAGATGTGTTGAATTTCATGAGATCGAGAGAAATTCTTATTGCTCCAGAAAACGGTGTGGAAATTTCAGTGGATGGCAGGAATGATCAGGATATTCATTCTCTTTACCAATCAAAGACAAGTGAAGAAAACATGGTAGAAGAAGATGAAACTGCTGATGAATTTGAACTAAGTCTTGATGAGGGGGACTCAAGGAAACTTTGTTTTGTTTGTGGACATCAATGCACAGACAGAAAGAATTTGTTTAAGCATTGTGAGGAGGTCCATTTCATCACAGGCCACAACAACCGGTTCACAGAATGTATGCAATGTGTGTCATATTTCAAATCAAGAAAAGACATCATGGATCATCTTCAAAAAGTTCATGGTGTGAAGTGTCCAAGGCTTCATGAGAAAAATCATATCTGTGTCATTTGTGAAGAAAAGTTTAGTGACAATGTTCAACTTGCTAAACATGTCAAGACACATGGGATCCAGTTTGCTTGCAAGCACTGTAGCAAGAAGTTTGGAAGCTATTCAAAAATGGCAACTCATTTGAAAATTCACACAGAAAAGTTCACAAAGAAACCTCTGAACTGTACCATTTGTAATTTGTCTGTACCAGGAGAATCCTATCTTGGACATTTGATTGTTCACTATGATAGAAAATATGGGCCTTGGAAATGTCTTGTGTGTGAAAAAGACTTTCATCTGAGAAGAAATCTGAAAGAACACCTTAAAGGAGAGCATAAGACTTTTATCTGTGAAAAATGTGGCAGAACCTTCAATTGCATGTACACATTCAAGCGGCATGAGTCGGTGCACAAAAGCCAAATCAAGTGCACTTTATGTAGCAAACAGTTTGACACTAAAATTGAACTGGCTATACACAGAAGGGTTCACATCAAGTATTGGATTTGTCATTTCTGTGGAAGAAATCTCTCCAATCAAACTTCACTGAACAGCCACTTAAAAGCCCACAGGGAGAAAAGGATAGTGACCTCAGCTCAAAAGTCTGAAAAGTTCTGTCAGATCTGCAACAGATCTTTCAGCAACCATGAATTGTATCAAAAGCACAAGGCCATTCATAAAGGAGATAGACTTCACAGTTGTCAGTACTGTGGAAAGAAGTATTCCTACATCGGTTCCTTGAAACTTCATTATCGCACCTATCACCCAGAGCACAAGCCCTATAGATGTGTAGTTTGTGGAAAAACCTTTTCCACCTTCCACCAGAGATTTCTCCACATGAGAGAACATAAAGATTACAAAGATCCCATTAGACCATTTAAATGCTCTTTCTGTTCTGGAAGATTCAAACATAAAATGAGTCTACAGCGTCACGAAAGACTAAAACATTTCAATGAATCACTGACTGGCTTCAGATGTGACAAATGTGACAGAGAGTTTACAAATGGACAGAGCTTGCTTAGACATGCAATGTTTTGTGAGCCAGCTCAGCATCCTCAACAACCAACTGGAGCAGGTTCCAGTGTCATAGTGGAGAATGAAAGTGGAGAACTTGAGGTGGTTGCAGAGGAGACAATAACAGGTGCCTCCAGTGTACAATACTCAGTGGTAGAGGAACCTCAATCTATGCAGGTTCATACTATTAACATTGGGTCTGAGGTGCTGTCTGTTGCCTGCAGTGACCAGGAGGAACTGATCCTTGAAGTACCAGAAGGGATGCTTGTGGAAACGGATAGTGGGTACCAAATCATCGTGTCTGAGGGAAATTAAACCCTCAGCATACATTACTGTTAGTATCGGTATAGAAGTATCTTCACAATGAGCACTTGGGATAAACTCAAGTATCTTTTTTAGCTCTGATGCACAGGCTCTGAGCTTTTATGATCAACATTTGTCTCAAAAAATCTTGTTCTGTCCTAGTTTGTAGGTATTTTTTGATTCCTTCTCTAGAATTACCAGGCCAATTTCAACCAAATTTTCCACAACGTATGGTTTGATAAAGGGGATTCACTTAAAATGAAGGGCCATAGCATCTCTCCCAAATGGATATAATCATAATGATTATTTTTGAATAATTAACAAGTACATGTAGGAAAAATAAGATGGATCAAAGAAAATGCTAATTTCAAGAACAATTGGGTTAGAAAGACAATGAAAATTGGAAGCTGGGGAATTAAATATTCTGTAAAAGTAGGAAGTTAATATACCTTTTTAAACCCTTTATTAATAAGTCAGATTAATATGCAGCAATTCTCATGTGTTGTAGATTCAAATTTTGACCTCCATGGTAAGGAATGAATGGGAAAAGTCTTTTAAAAACCTTTCTGTCAAAAACAGTAGATCCACATTTGGTGAGATTAATATGTAAGCATGTTCATGTCGTGTTGACTTAAGTTCTAAATTTGGCCTTGATGCTAGAATGGGCCAAGACAGTGTAACAGAGGAAACCTTTTAAAATGAATAAGAGAGGCTTAGTCAAATTTACATAAAGCATCTTTATTTATTTATTTTTTTGATTAAAGTTAGGTCTGGTGAGCAATGTGGTACCAGGATCTCCTTTAGTCAGTAGATATTATATGAGTCATTATTTCAAAGAAAGGTTGATGTTGATCTTTATTTTGAATGTCAGTTTGAAACACTATTCCCATGTATGCACAAGTATATAAACATGTTAACATTTAATATGAAACAAGAAATGCCTTCCACTTTTCATTCTAATGTTTATAAGGCTACACATGCCTATAAAATGCTATTACTTTATTCAATGCATACATTGCAAAAAAGAAAAAAAATTAATAGAGAGATCAAGGAAAATTTGTAAATATTCCATAGATCAAAGTAAAAGAAGTAGCTTAATTTACCAGGAGATAAATTATTTTGAAATAGGTATGACCGTATAATAATTAACATAGGAGCCTAGGGCAAAGTTCTGGTATCATTATCATAAATATAAAAATTAAGAAAAATCATTTGGTAAAGAGATCCATATAAATATTTTTTGATGATTTGATGTATCTGGATAGGTCACCATACAAATTTTAGAGATTTTTTTCCCACAAGGGGGGATAACTCTAATAACTAACACTTAATGTTAATTAAAGGACTTTGTCTGTACATTTCATTTAGTTGGTGTTGTTTATTATTAGTATCTTTTAAAACATTTTCTAAGCATTATTAAAGTTAAGTTTATACTTAAAATAGCAAATATCCCTCTTTTATGCAATGAATACCTTAATAAGTATTTCTTTTGAGTCACTTTCAAAAAACAAGTCCATTTTCTCCTATTATTTATAATGGATTCTTTAAGCTTTCTTGCAGAAGAATCTTCTCTTTTTGGGGGGAGGGGGGGGATTACTTTTTTGATTTTTTAAATTTTACACATTTATGAATTACTTATCAATATTTTTTGAGACCATTTACTTGTGATGTAGTTTGTGTGAATGGACTCATCAGCCTGGCAGTTATTCATGTAAAAGGAAAAACATTCTCAGGCTGTTAACCTCTGTATGGGTTTGTTAATCTGATAATCTAGTAGTGCTGTTGATTTATGTGACAATTATTGAACATGATTCTGTTTTTCAATTCAGAATGGATGTGCTGGAAAAAAAAATTGTGGAATGCTGATGAATAATACCAATTTAATTTAAAATTGAAAAAGATGAATTGATCGATTCTTGAAAATGATTGTATGTGAACTCTTTTTTGAACATCTTCAAAGTTATTCAAATTGTTGCATGTGTGGTTTATATCACAGTTCATTGAGTATAATGAACTATAAGTAATTTTCATATTTTTTGAGTGAAACTACTAAGATTCATACAGAATGTTTTTATAAAGAAAAAAAAAAGTTGTATAGAAATCCATTATTAATATACTAAGTAAATGAATTATGGATGCACATGTATTTACTTTTTCAATATGTGATAAATGTATCTAAAAAGCCGATTTTTCCATTAAACAAGTTAAATCCAGTTATGTTTTATTATTTTAGTGCTGTTTAAATTGATTGAAATTGGAAAGTTGTAGTTGGTTGTCTTGGTTAATATTTTTTGTGTATACAATAATGTGATTAGGATATTATTTCGATTTGAATAAATGAAACCTATTTCAAAAAAGGGGAAAAAAAGGAAATCTCTGACCTACCAAGACCTACTTTTGGAATTTCATGGCTATATTTAAATATTTCAGATACTAATTGGCGTAGAATCATCAAACTTTGGCAGTTGATGCATCTTGAGTCCTCATGGTTTGTCAACTAAAAAGTAGGTCACAGTGACCTACTTTTAGAATTTATGGTTTTATTTGAATATTTCAGATACTAATTGGGAGTTGATGCATATTGGGTCCTCTGAGTGTGTCAATTAAGAAGTAGGTCACAGTGACCTACTTTTGGAATTCCATGGCTTTTTAAAAATATTTCAGATACTAGTTGATGCATCTTGAGTCCTCAAGGTTTGTCAACTAAAAAGTAGGTCACAGTGACCTACTTTTAGAATTTATGGTTTTATTTGAATATTTCAGATACTTATTGGGAGTTGATGCATATTGGGTCCTCTGAGTGTGTCAATTAAAAAGTAGGTCACAGTGACCTACTTTTGGAATTCCATGGCTTTTTAAAAATATTTCAGATACTAGTTGGCTTAGAATCATCAAACTTTGTCAGTTGATGCATCTTTCATCCTTGGAATATGTCAAATAAAAAGTAGAGTCTCAGAGTATGTTAACCAAAAAGTAGGTCACTGTGACCAAATTTTGGAATTTCACAGCTATATTTATTTTAGATAATGAGAGGCTTAGAATCGTAAAAAATTGTTAATTGATGTGTCTTGGGTCCTTGGAGTATTTTGACCAAAAAGAAGGTCACAGTGACCTACTTTTATAATTGAATTGCTATATTTAAATATTTCAGATACTGATTGACTTAGAATCATCAAACTTTGTCAGTTGATGCATCTTGGGTCCTCAGAATGTGTCAACTAAAAAGTAGGTCATGGTGACCTGCTTTTGAAATTTTAAGGCAATATCTAAATATTTCAAATAATAAGAGGCTTAGAATCATCAAACTTTGTCAATTGATGCATCTTGGGTTCTCTGAGTGTGTTAATGAAAAATACGTCACAATGACCTACTTTTGGAATTTCAAGGCTTTATCCTTATACATGTATATACAATGTAGGGTACTAAGATGCTTAAAGTAGAAGAGATAGATTTACAATTTATCAGAAGAGTGATTCTAGGCCCTTTGGTCTCTTGTTTTATTTGCTGTCTTATGTACATTCAAGGAAACTATTAATTTTAACAGGTAGTTGGATAATAGCCTCATTCCATCATTATTTTCAAATGTTTTTAATGTAAAAGTAGAATAAAAAGATGAAAGAGCAGTACAATTAATCCCTTGGTTTTGTGTTATATAAAATAAAACTCGATTATAAGGAAGTCACTGGGACCTAGAATTTTGTTTCCTTACAACCGAAATTCTTTATATATGTACAAAGAACATAGTGAAAAGTCTTCTATAGATAGTTTTCTGATTTATTTTTTCTCCGAGTTATTTCCCTTGGCCTCCATCTTGGTGGTCATCCTGGTAATTTTTCCTCTTTCTCTTACCAATTTTTAGAGGGTGTAGCAGAAATATTCGGGGGAAAATCTGTATAGAATAAAAACTATGAAATAAAGGAGGCTTTTAAAAATGTATATTTTTTCAGAAAAACAATGCTTTCCACCCCACAATGGCTAGTATAAAAAGTTAAAAGTTGGTTGAATAATGAAGGAATATGGGCATGTTGACATCCAATATGGCGGCCAACGGGAAATAACTCTTGCAAATTTGGCCTAATGAAAATTCCTTAAAGATTCCTTCTAACCAAAAATTCCTTGTAAGCAAGTTCTTTATAACTAAGTTTTATAGTAATTATTTAACATTCCATGGATTCTTTACAGGGTTGTATTATACTCAGGTGATCTTAAGGCCCTTGGGTCTCTTTTAAAGTGCTACCTATATCAAGAAACATAAAGTGATTTTTTTCCCTAAATCAAACTGCTCAATGCATTTCTTCTATGGTTATGCTTTTTTGTCATTGATTTATATTGGCTGTCTTGGGGTGTTCTTAATTATTTTTTTTAGGTTGGGGGATGTTTTTAAGCTCACCTGAACAGAAGGCTTGAGTTTTTCAAATGACCTGTACTTGCCTTTCCATCCGGCCATCCATGTGTTAACTTTTCATATATATATATATATATATATATATTTTTTTTTTTTTTTTTTTTTTTTTTTTTTTTTTTTTTGCTTTTCTTCAGAACCATTCCACCAATTTCAGCCAAACTGACCACAAAGCATCCCTGTGTGACGGGAATTCATTTTTTTTTTCCTTTTCATATTAAGGGCCATGCTTTCTTGAAAGAGGAGATAATCAAGAAAAAGGTTAAAAAAGGGTGGATGTCTTACAAAATCTCAAGTATGGTGGGTCAGATAAGATGAAATGAGAAAAGCTTTTTGTATCATTATCATTTCTCTCATCATTATTTACATATGATCCTTCTACAGGCCTTGGGGTAGGGCAAGGTTCGGCTTGATTCTAAAACACCAAAACTGTAGAAGGAATAGCGTTTTAAAAGAATTCAATGAAATTTCTATTTTTAGTAACCATGGTAACAACATTTGTCGAAATCAGTAATCGATAAATAGAATTATGTACCTCATTATAGTCTACTTGTGTACCAAGTCTTATTGAAATTGGACCAAAACTGTAGGAGGAGTAGCGTTTTGAAAGAAATTCAAAGAAATTTCTATTTTTATTAATCATGACAACACCGTTTGTCGAAATCAAAAACCGATACACAGAATCAGTCTACTTGTGTACCAAGTCATTGAAATTGGACCAAAACTGTAAGAGGATTAGGGTGAATTTAAAAAAAATGATCAAACTAGGGATGGCAACGAATATTCGAACATTCGAATATTCATTCGATGAGTTGATATTCGAATATGAATTTAAGATTCGAATATTCGGTGTTTTTCAGATTTCATAAAAAGAAGTACTGTGATTAATAAATTTTGATTAGAACAGTGCTGGAATTATCCCTGTTTAATTTACTAGCGATCAATTTCGATCGCCTGATTTCTTTCACAACTTTCTTATCTTATAAATATTCTAAATTACATGTATTTTGTTTTGAGTAAGGTGTTGTAAAGAATTGTACAATAGTGCTTTATGTATAATACAAAACGTACTTTCATAGCTTTTATTAGTTAAAGATACGATCGGATCTAGAATCGAGGACAACAAATGAAATCTAAGAATATCTAAAAGGCGCGAAGAGTATACTTATCAAAATAAAATTAATTGATCATTGAATGAATGTCCGATAGAATTAATCTGTAATTAATATTGTAAAGGGCTTAATTTCAGAATAAATGTGTAAATTACTTGATTATCTCGGGTTGTGCAGATAATTGTAATTTATTACACGTATTGAAATCTGAACAGTATACCGTTACGGCTATCTTGCCTTTTGTGAGACGACTGGTTCCTCAGGTGGGGCTACTATAAATACACGTTTCATTTGTTAAAATTACACTTTTCTACATTTAAATCAATTATTTATTTCAAACATTGACAAATATCGAATGGAATTTCTTATTTTACACCTAAAAAAGTCCTCATACAATTTTACTTCCTATATAAGTATACCTACGAGAGTAGGATGACGCATATTTAAAATAAAACAGATTTTATTTATTTTATCGAATATTCGAATATATTCGAATACTTTCATTGAATATTCGAATATGAATTATTGACAAAATTGACATCCCTAGATCAAACGCATATTTATCTACCCACACTAAAAATACAGGCAATGAAAATAGATTTCTATGTTTCAGCATATGTCTTTAGATAGTGTCTAAATACCTGCCAAATATCTCGTTGATATCTCAATTAACAAAAAAGTTATGCCCAAAAATGATGCTAAAATTGTCAGGAGTGCAACACCTTTTTGTGACATTTTGAAATTTCAATATTTTTTGGAGATCTGTGTAATAAAAAATAATGCTTCATGTTGAAAATAAAGACTTTCCTGATAATATTCAAAGTATTGAGCTTTAAATGTGGACTGTCATAACTTCTGTTTAATCAGGTTGTGGTCATGGCTGATGTTTAAAAAATGTTATACCATGTCAGGAGTGCAACAGAAAAAATGTAGTGTTGCCAAAAAAACATCAATTGTAAAATTCTGATAGAAAATTAAGACAAAAAAGAATTTTAAAAGTGTAAAATAATAACTGATATACATTTTAAAACTTAAAAATGTTATATAAATCACAAGCAGCATTAATGAGAGTCAAGTATATGTGAATACCCAAAAATGTCAGGAGTGCAACATTTGATGTTTTGCTCCCAAGCATGAAAAAACTATTATCATTATATGATTTTCTGATTTTTATTTTGGAAAATAAAGACACAAAGAACATTTTTACCAAATAGATTTATCAATTACAGGATCTGTCTGTGCTTCAGATCCATATTTCTATGGTCAGGAGTGCAACACATTTTTTTAAAGATTCAAGTTGTGTGACGAAAAGACTTCTATTCATGCTTAGAAGTATTTATTAATTAATAATGATCTTTTTGTATAATTTAATACTAAATTATTGACAGTTTTATTATTAAAATCCTTCCTTTTTCAATTTTATCAATTCAGATGTGTTTTTATCTTTTTGTGATTTTTTTTAATGAACGTTATAAATAAACACACTAAAACATTGTCATAAAATTCAAGTAATTCCTCCTCAACTTCACTGAAACAACAGAACAAGTTCTTATGTAATTTTCACTTCACAATTCTACTTTAAAGGCCCCAATGCTTTTGGTCAGGAGTGCAACAAATATGTTAGAATTATAAATCATCCAAGAAGAATAAAAATAAAGAAAAAATGATGAGTAGAATTTTTCTGGTGGGTTACTGTGTTTGACTTCTATAGGAAAATATGCTTTAAAATATATTTTATCTTCTAAATATACATTTAAGCTAGATTTTTGGCATAAAATAGGGTATAATTCCAGATAAACTGGGATTTTTAAATACTTTCATCTTTTTTAATTATGAAGTATTGGACTATAAGTATTGCACAATTTCATTACCACTTGATGTTGCAAACACTTTATGAATTTTTGTGTTCTATGGTTTTAATTTTAAACTTTACTGCAGTCAGGAGTGCAACAAAACTGCTTTATAATTAACGATGCTTTTTAACTATCTTTACTAAAAAATAAGTTGAAAAAAATGCTTGATACTATTTGATGTTCAAAACACTATGTCTATCAACAAATTACAGAAATTTTACAGTCAATTCAGGGAATAGTTTTCATCATTTCACATATATTTTAAATACAATTTATATATATTACACTTTGCAAATAATCATGTTTTAAGGTCTTCAAAATATGAAAAACCTGCTGTAAATGATGAAAAATATCAACACAACATATTAATTTACAATGTAAGAATGGGTTATTGTGTGTTATAATTTTTAAAACAATGTTAAATAAAATACATATCAGATGTCAGGAGTGCAACACAATAATGTAACATAGGGTCACTTCAAAATCTAGTATTTTTTGTAAGAGAACTCGTATATAACAATTCTTTTTAGCTTATTTTTAAAGAATTGACTTGAACGGACAAAAAAGTGAATTTTGGGGAATTTTATTGCTTCATATTTTTTTTCATATTAAAACTTTTCAAACCAGAATTGAAAAAATAATGTAAAATAACAATCAAAAAGCCAAATTTTTGTCACATGTACAAGAGAAGATACTCATTCAAGGTCTAGATTTAATCATTTATACCCCTTTTACCATTTTGAAGCATAAAAAACTATAATTTCTTGTGATTAGGTATTTTAGAAAGTCTTTTAAGGTTTAGTGATATTTTCTTTTTTCAAAAGAAATTTTACTAATAAAAATTCTGAAACTTTTTAATCCAATTGTCTATTCTATTGCCACTTCAGGATTTTAAACTAGAATGCATGTGCAATATGATGGTATAAGTGAAAAATGTGTTATATGTAGTTGAATTTTGCCAAAAAAATCAGTTTGGTGGTCATTTTTTTTAATTCACCCATTAGCGTTTTAATGTTTACATACGGACAGAAAGACAGCTAGACGGACGGACGACGGACACCTTACGAATGCATAAGCTCTTCTGGTATTTGACCGGTAGAGCTAAAACATGATGACAATGTGAAATGAGTCCTCTACAAAAACTGTAAAATTCTTTTCCATAGGTTCTAAGATCTAGGCAACTTGGGGCAAAGAGGACAGATGTTGAAAATATACGAAGCACCAATTAACATAAATGCAAAGAAACGAAGGTATCTTTAGTAAATTGAAGATATCATCAATTTATTTAATGTGGGCAACAGTTCAGCTAAGATCTCTTCAAATTATTAATGATATTTTTCAATTCTAAATTAGTATTATTGTGCGCATAAATTCAACAGTTGATATCGTTGATTAATTTGCTGAGTTCATGCGCAAAATTATTAGCATAATCGTTTTTCTCTTCAAATGAACTGATACGCTCAATATTGCACGTATCATTCACTTGAATTATTTATAATATGTATTATCATATATCCCTTTTCACTTTTCAAAGTTATATCTCCCCTCTCAAAAGCTCGCGACCCAAGATTACTTAATTTTATTTGTTCCAAACTTTGTTGAAAATGGTCTAACGAAAATAGATAGACGACGGACAAAATTTGATCGAACACTCGGCTCGGTTGAGTTTGGGGTTAGATAATTCTATGATACTAAAAGCTATCCACGTTTGAACATCTCTATTAACAAACAAGAGGCCCATGGGCCAAAACGTTCACCCAAGTAACTGAACCCCTGCAGTTTTTACGAAGATTTTTACATTGTAAAAGATTCTCCTTCATATTCCCATGAAAAATTGACCCCATATTATGGCCCCAGCTTAACCTAAGGGGTCTCGGAATCTACACAGCATGGGGATGCTTCAATATCGATATGACTAACATGGTTTTGAAGTTATGAAAAGAACATTCTTTTTCTGTATACATCCATTTTAATTAGCTAAAATTTGATCCTGATTTTAGCCAATTCAAACCCGGGGTTCCATAATTTGAAGAGAAAAAAAGAACATGAATCCACACAACTTAGAAATGTTTACAAATTAATGGTTTTATTGTGGTTCTTGAGAAGATTAATATATTTTTTTATTTTTTCATATATATAGTCCCATGTTATAGTCCCATGTAAATCTATATTATATTAGAAACCTTTCACATAAGTTTCAACATCAATTTAGATTCTACAATACCTCAGGAAGCTTTCGCTAAAGTTTCATCTTTTCTTATCTAGTGGTTCTTGAGAAGAAGGATTTTAAAGAATATTTCTTTATATTTCAATGTAAAACTTTGATGTCCTTTTGTGGGCCCATCCTATACCCCCTGTGCCATAACTTAAACAATTTAGAATCTACACTACCTCAGGAAGTTTTCACTCAAGTTGATTTTTTTTCTGGTTCAGTGATCCTTGAGTAGAAGAGTTTCAAACTGTAAATGCACGAAACAAACTGTACTGTTTTAAATTGCAAGAGTAAAACTAAAAGAATGAATTGACAGTTAGGTTTTGGTCGTGCTACAACCTATTAATGGCTGGAATACCGTTTATTTCATTTAGCTGACAAGATTTAGACTTTTTCCTAATGATGGGATACTTCCAACTACAGCACAGGAAATAAAGAATACGAGAAACACGAAGGGGTTTAACAGATACAATTAATATGGAATAAAACCGGAAGATCATTGACTTCAAAACTTCGGTCAAAGCCAAATAACGCTAAGATGCCAAAGAATATGCCTATAAAACAGAGGTCTCCATTCCGAGAAGCAATTTCACACCCGGAGTTACAGCAGGACACGATATCAATATTTGTAGGCACAAAGAAGGCCCGACAAGGAGTTTTATTCACTTCAACACCTAATTACGCCTGCACTCACTGGTTTTAAACCTTTTTAAATGCATCTTAATTATCGGTGCTGGAGCAAAAATCTATCACTGTGTTTACTTTGTAATGTCGAAAATGTCAAAATTCTTTCTCGCTGTCCTCACATGAACTTGATAAGCAATTTTTTTCAGCATTTGACATGGAAAATATGACCTCTACTGGCGTCTCTGAAAATATAACCGATCCTGAGGTATCGTCTGCAAAAAGTTTTCCATTTTATGCTGCCCAAAGTGGTTACGATTTACCGGTGTATGGTCTTAAGAATGGACAATTTTACTCCATACACATTCCTGCAATCACCTGTATTGTCCTTAGCTTTGTTTCTGCTGTAGCCATCATAATTGCATCCTTTAGACTACAGAACATCAAGACATTCTTTTCATGGACAAAGAGTGAACGGTTTGTTGTCTATTTGGCTCTGTGTGACGGACTTTTCAACTTTGCCCATAGTATGGACCACACTCACATTGTTCTGACCAGAAACCATGTGTACCCTAAGGAACTATGCGAGTTTTACGGCTTTATGTTGGCTGAGTTTATCACTGCTCAGAATCTTATGGTGAATGTTGTTGCTCTGAATGTTTTCGTTTTAATATATTTCACGAAAGACTTGAATTTTGGCGCATATGACTGGCGACTTCTATTGTACACCTTTGGTCTTCCATGCGTCGGAGGAACAATGGCTGCTTACTTCGATATGCTAGGACCTAATGGTACTTTGTAAGTTAATATAACATACCTGTACGAAGTGTTCTTTTATATATAATCTCATTTTCATTTAAGGTGTTCAATGTTTTTTGTTTTTTTTGTTTTGTTTTGTTTTTTGTTTTTTTGTTTTTGCAATATAGTCTTTCCTCAGCATATTGGCAGATTTTTATTTACATATTAAAGCACAATAAATGTAAACACACTCAATAGAAAAATTTGTTACGTGGCTCAAAAAAGGAGAAACAGTGGAATGTTGCATGTGCTGATGCACAGCTAATCTCAAATGAGGAGCGTATCATTTCAATGACTATAATGGATTATTTCGTACATTCACACAACATACCGATATCACTGAACACTACCATGTTCTCATATTTTCAAAAGCAATGTTTTATAATCGATCAATTTTTTTTTCTATCTGATTTATATTACAATTAATTTCGATTTGCAGGCAGAAACATGCACTACGATATATATGCATTTTATTTGAAAATGATTAAGCAAAATAAATTCATCAAGCGCCAAAATATTACCAGGAAATATCAATAAAAATACCTGGTAATGATTCATATAAGTTTAGGATAATCGAATAACAAGTATTTTTTGTGTTTAGTTGCTATTTTGACGGAGTTAAGGGAGAAGTTGCCAACCTGTTCTTCACCACTGTACCACTCTTAACCGTCCTTTTCATGAATATAATCGTTTACGGCCTGACATGGAAGCGGATCAGAAGCGAGTCTAAGCGTCTTCAGCACACCCTGGGACAGGAGGCCGCCACTATCAGGGCCTCTCTTCAGGCAGCGAAGACCATGTCGTTATTTGTCACAGCTTTCTTCGCCCAATGGTGGGCCATGGCTCTGTACGGAATCTGGCAGATGATCGCACCTGTTCCCCAGACTCTGTTTCAGTTTGTGACTACGTTTTCCAACATTGGCGGTATCCTTAACGGTATCGTCTACATCCTCATCAGACGACGAAGAACCAAACCCAAGTCCAAGAGAGCAGCGAATGTGGACAAACCATTTCAGAATATCAATTCCGTTAGCGATAAAGTTGAAAATTCAAGTGTTTGAATCTGCATGTGCGTGATGTATGTGTTGATTTAGAGATGTTAATAGAGCCTAGAGGTAGCTGAATTTCTTCGTGTGACGCTCAATTTGATTGAAAAAAAATCAATCTAGAATTCACATGCTACTGATTAAACACTTCTTAACACGAACTTGAATGATTCTGCTAATCTAAATCGAATAACAGTTTGATAAATGATGTGTAAAACATTCTTAACAGAGATTAGAGTATGTAAAGTCTTTAGAGGTATTTAAATATTCTAGTTCATGTATTTGTTCCTTATACAGCTGTTAAAACAAAATTGATAGTAATCTTTGGTTTCATACGGCGAAATTCTCAATCGCTTTTCAAATTTATCTTTAATAAACGTTATAGCTAAAAATTATAATATCTACTGGTATTTAAAATACTATGAATTTCTTCTATCAAATATTTTGAAAAAATATCGATAAAATCTACTGGCTTTTTAGGTCACCTGCGTCACTCAGGTGACCCATTGCAATTTGTTTTCGTGCGTCGTTCGTCGGTCGTAAACTTTTGAACATTTTCAGCTTTTTCTCTGGAACCGTTGAACCAATTTTAACCAATTTTGGTATAGAGCATCTTTGGGCAAAGGGGGACAAATATTGTGAATTTCATGGTCCCTGTTCCCTGAGGCCTGAGGGGTGGGGCCAAAACCATTAAAATTAATGCAATTTTCAAAAATCTTTTTCCCTACTCCTGGACATCAAGCAGTCAAAGTGTTGATTATAACATACAATGAGTCCTTTACCTAAGTTGTGAAATTCATGGCCCCAGGGTCAGGGATTCTGGAGTTAGAGTGGGACGCTATTGATCATATAGTGAAACTGCATAAATTCTTTAAAAAGCTTTTTTCTTTCCCCCTGTATTTTAAAAAAAGAAATTAAGTGCATGGTTATAATGAGCAAAGGTGCCTCTTCTAAAATTTTGAATATCATGGCCCCTGTATCCGGGGTTCTAGTGAAAGGGGGGGGGGGCTCTATTGATTATATGGTGAAAATGGTTATGATGAGCAGGGCTGTCTTTTCCGAAATTGTGAATTTCATGGCCCCTGGGTCTGGGATTCTGGTGTTAAGGCGGGGATCTATTGATAATATAGAAAAATTGCATTATTTCTTTGAAAATCTGTTTTGCTCATGTATATTTGAAAGACATATTGAGTGCATGGTTATAATGAACAGGGTTGCCTCTTCCAAAATTTTTAATTTCATGGCCCCTGGGTCAGGGGTATCTGGTGTTGGGGGCTCTATTGATTATATAGTAAAAATGCATAAATTCTTTGAAAATCTTCTTATCTGCTCCTTGGTATTAAGCATACAAACTAAATGCATAGTTATGATGAGCAAGGGTGCCTATTCCAAAATTTTGAATTTCATGGTCCCTGGGTTAGGGGTTCTAGTGTCAGGGTGGGGCTCTTTTGATTAAATAGCGAAAATGCATACATTCTTTGAAAATCTTATCTACTCATGGGTTACCGTATTAAGCAGTTAAAATAAGTGCATGGTTATGATGAGCAAGGGTGCCTCTTCCAAAATTATGAATTTCATGGCCATTAGGTCAGGGTTTTTAGGCAACATAGCTTTATCTATCAGTTGCCCTTTTCACAAAAAATCTTAAGTTTTTACGTAAGATTTTAACTTAAGAATCTCTTGCGACAAATCTTAAGTGTGTTTCACGAACGCATTCGTAGCAGATTGAACTTAAGATTTTACTTACGACAGACTTCATCCCTAGCAACGACTTAAATATGCTTTATAATCCTTAAAAAAGTGGGTGAAAATAAAAATACAACTTAGTTTTCAACATTTGTCAGCATAACAAACATTATTGACAACAAACATCGAATGCAATCGTTTGTGAAGCAAGGAAGTTAAAATCTGACGTCACAATCGCAAGTCTGACGTAAAAGTAGGTCATATGAAAATCTTTTAAAAGTGAAACTTACATCGTAAATATTTTGTAGTGTATTTCATTTAATTTTTCAACAATGGTTGTGAAATAATATAAAATATAATTGGAAGTTGCTTTTAAAAGTTCAATTTAACGTGTATTTTGATTTTTGCGGTTTTATTTTTACAATAAAATCGGTTTTAAAATACTTAAGAGAGGGTTGGGGCTCTCGTAAAGTTACGACAGATTTTGCACTTACGACTTTCTTAAGAATTTTTGTGAAAACGATTTTTATCATAAGTTTTAACTTAAGATAAAAATATATCGTAAGATTTTTTGTGAAAAGATTCACAGTTTTTTGTATTTCATACTTCTATAGATTATACTCAGGTGATCATTAAGGCCCTTGGGCCTCTTGTTTTATAATTCTTTGACTTTCACTCTGTTTTTCAAAAATATGGAAATTTTGATATATTAACAGCCAGATTAAAACATACTTTATTGTTTGTGAAACATTTATGTCATATAAGTTAACTTGGTATACTTATAATGTGGACTTTCTTTCTACAGTGTAGTTTTTTTATTATTGCAATAAAGTGTATATTGTGTGTATTGTAACATTTTGCACAGGTTTTTAAATCTTTAAATTTCAGGAGGTAAAAATCAGAACAAGAAAACATATGCAACAGGTAAATTTGTTCAAGAGAGCCATAGGGAGAAGTAAGGGGGGGGGGGGGAGTCCCTTTTCAATCTGCAATTGTTTTTATTACATAAAGCCAGTTGCACTTTATGTATATAAAATCAAAGACACATCAGACATTTAATGCTTTTGTAACCTATCCAAAAATGTAAATAAATACATAAAAAAGAATACTGTGTAATCAATATGCTGGAAGCATGGTTTCAAAATGTCAATCATTAAGGGGTGTAGAACAGTCACTTTCTACCATATGTGGAGAAAATTATATTCTTAATCCTTAAATACCATATAACATAACATTATAATTGCTCCCATTTTGGACCCCTGAGGTCAAACAACATCTGAACAAAGCGTAAAGGAATATACAGAAGGAATAAATCAAATTGGTTGCAACAATCAGACATAAATTAAAACTTAATTCAGAAGATTTTAGCAGAACGGGGGCAGGTGTGTATTGATATGCAAAAACTGCTTTGAAGAAGAAAATTCAGATAAACTTTACTACAGCATATTCAAGAAGATTTGTAAATGTAGATGCTCAAAAACTCTTAAAGACTTTTAGAAATGATGAAATCGCAATTTTTTTCCCAAATCAATACCACCTAACGTATGATTATACTTAATACAACTATTCCTTACGATAAAAAAAAAAAAACAACTGCTTCTTCAATAAAAATGGAACTCAGAGATTTCCATATATTGTGATTGGTCATCTACAAAGTCCATTCTGATTCTACATGTAAACAAGTACATGTACTCTGAAGTTGATATTAACTTTAATAGCAGATTAAATTCTGTATTCAAGCTAAAATAATATTTTAAAAGGGATGTCTTAAACATTCATTAAATAAAAATTTGGTGTAGCATTCCTCCTTAATGTATTTTTTTGCAATCAATTAAGTTTGATAGATTGAGAAATATCATTTTGATACCAAGGTAAGAGCTTCTCAGTGAAAAGCGTCTTCTTATCATCAACCATGTTAAATGAAAAGTGGATCAATTAAAGACTATAATATGTACAACAAATTATTGAAGTCTACTCACTGGGTTTTACTTTAAGTTGGTAAGGTAAGTATTGAATAAACTGTGCATCTGTATCACAGTCAGTAAATACGTGTAGAAAGTATTGAAAAATTCAGTAAATATACACATGTATGTATTTCCTAATTGAAAACAGTAAATACACGTATTTCCTAAGCAGAATAGGAATTTCATGTATTTCCTTAAATTCAGAAAATACATGAATTTCCTGATTACACATATTTACTTTAACATATATACTGAACAAAATATAAAAGAAATACAAAATTCTATAGTCGGGTTTCCAGTTACGACAACTTAAACTGCCAAAATTACGAAATTTTCCTGTTTTTATGGAATATTTGTCATTGCTGAACATACATATGTAACGTAAACTGTGATTCGTTGATATGCCATCGCGATTCTGTGCAGCAGCCAATCAAATGACCCGCGCATACATGCAGCGATATTTCGGCGAGTTTGCCCACAGGTGATGAGTAAATGACGAGATCACCCGGGGTTATCCGACGATGCAGGGTTCCACACTAACTTTTTAAGGCTTTAGTCCAGCCGGACTAGTGCTTCATTACTTTTACTAGTCCGCACACGATTTTATTAGTCCGTCAAAAAAAAAGAAACATCAATGTTTTTTAACATTAATTTAACGTGACAATTAATATAAGTATTATTTTTTTTAAATAAACAAAGTATTTACGTGAAATATATTATTCCACAGATTCATTGAAATCTCTCAATCAGCAAGTTCGATCGTATTCCCAATCTAGTTTTTTTTTTAATTATTTTTTTTTGTCTTTACATTACATCCAAAACGTCCAGCATCTTTCTTAAAAGTGTCCTACTAAATAATGATCGCTAAAACCTTATACTTCATATCGATCAGTCGAAAAATTAAGTGCTGAATTGACCCTGCATTGCGTAACTACCCGCCAAAAGCTAGAAATCTAAAAATACACGCGGGATTTTCCAGTAAAAGTTTGTCGAGAATCGGACATCGGTAATTTATTCATATTGTTTTTCAGAAATTTTTATTGGTCCGTTCGGACTAATTAGCCACATATTTTATTAGTCCGAATGAAAATGTATTAGTCTGAGACTAACGGACTAACGTTAGTGTCGAACCCTGCGATGTTGTAATTTATTTATATTACAGTTCTCCAAAATCATACTCTCCTGTTCCAGTGAGAAGTGTACGGAATTTCATACGTAGATTTTCCACCTCGGGATCTGAAAATGTCTTATAGAGGTCCTTATAGAGATTCTTATTTTACTTTGCATTGATGTTGACAATATATCCCATATTTCGGACCCAAAGATAACCATTGTTTTAATCAAATAAATTAAAAATGAAGCTTTAATTGGTGAATTTATAGAAATTATAACTTTGTTTGACAAGAAGACTGTCTGTTATCCTTTAGTTTCAACATTTTCTCTCCCATCACTAGTTACAAGAAATAGATTAGAGAACTCTTTGTATGCTGAAGGTGTGAATACTAATTTACCTTTTAGCTCAGTATCGTAAATAGTCATAGCAAATGATGAAAATTTATCTAAAGCGTTCTTCAGTAATATATATTTTTTCCAAGAATTTGTCATTGAATTTGTGTTACTTTAACAAGTTTCCTCACAAAAAAATTATGGTACCTTTCCAGGCATTTTGCAAGATACCAGAGGATGTTATTTATTATACATGTATAATCCTATTGGAAAATACTAGCATCAAATATCACATTTTTG